TTTTTTTTATTATGATGCCTTACAAAAATACTATGAATGAAACTATCTGTATTTTGTTTTTTCTTTATGGCTTATTTCATTAAGTATGGAACCAGATTTTTCATTAATCATGAAGCCAGTGTATCTTCTACTTGTTTAACAAATTAGTCAATACTCTGAAATGTCATCTCCTCGCCTGTTAATCTGTTTCTTCTCCTGTTAGCAAGTAGTAACCTATTTGTGGTATTGTTGGATTAAATGATAAAATCCATGTAAATTTATTACTTAGTATTAATCTACTTATATAGTTATAGTATTAATTTAACAGAAAATGTAAACACACACATATGTGATATATATGTGTATTTGTGTGTGTATATATACATATAAAATTCAGGATGCATTTCTGTCTGTGTAAAACAACCAAAGCAAGTAATAGTTGTCATAAAATTGAGAATATGATTTCAAGAGTTGTCAGTTCTCTAAGAGCTTTGGGGTCTAGCTTTATATACACACTGAATGTATTCAGAGGGTCCTTCTAAACAGTTAAAATAAGAGGAAGGGTATTTGTGAATGAGAGAAATAGAGCAAATAGCCCAGTTTAAAAATTCGTCTCTTGCTAATTCTGCTCCCAATTTTCAGTTGTGACTTAAGTTAAAGAGATAAACCTAGTCACAGGGTGAGCAGACAGCTTCTAAGGTCAGAATAGAATAAGAAAAGCCTGGGAGGAATAACAAAGGCTCCAAAGATAAGGATGGCAAATTCAGAAGGGGATGAATAGTATATATGAATTTGGTGTAATGATTCCTCTAGGAAAGGGAAAAGTCAAGATTATGCAAGTCTATGATGTGGGAGACTTGTCAATACCTACATTATTTATTTCAGTAAATACACATAAAATGAGACAAAGGATCACACAAAACCAAACCAATACAAACCCAGGAAAATGGACTGTGAAACTGAGTCTATAAGATGGGGAGGGTGCACAAGAACCCCATGGTAGAGGCTGAGGGTACCTTGGTGTGGGTGTGGCATGGGGAAATGCATCTGGGGAAGTGGGCCATGTTCCTCTGAATCTTATACAAAGCAAACCAATATTAACTCAGTAAAAGTAGATAAGTCATTAAACAAACAAACAAACAAACAAACACATAGGACCTCCCTGGCAGCTTAGGGATTAATTCTCAGTGCTATCACTTCTATGAAATCCATCTTGTCAGGGAGCTGACCCACATGATGTAGTGACCTCTCCTGTCTCCCCCACTGCTCCCCTCAGCAGTGTATTTCAGTAGATCAGTCTTTATTGCACTTCACTCTGTTTCTGGTGAATCCTCTCAGCACTCACCCTCAACTCTGACCTATAGCCCACCTCTTCTATGCAAAAATAAATAAATAAATAAATCTTAAAATAATTAAAAACCCACATAGAAAGAGGACATTAAACGAAGCATCCAGTTTTTAACCCAGAAATAGAGAAGTGATTGGATTTGAAAATTGATCAAGGAAATAGACATTTATGCATGATTACAGTATTTTATATAATTAATTATATTATTACTAGAATGATATTTAAAATATCTGAATATAAATACGTTGGATTTTTTCCCCCATATTTCTAGGCTTATTTTGAAACTGCTGTTATATTATTACATGAAGCATGTTAAGAATTTGATAAATTGACTGTCTAGAAGAACACGTCAGTGAGTTCTATCACCTTTTTTTTGAACATTTATTTGAAGTTTATTTAGCATTTCAAACATTTACTCAGAAAATGGAAACAGAACTTTTCATGAGAACCAGGCCATCAGCACATTTATTTCAAAAGAGCTTTCATATGTAGGCTTTCAGTGTTATCTATGGATTGAAATACTGAGGGTTATTTATAGGTTAAAAGAAAAATATTTCATCAAAGGGCTTTAATTGTTAAGTGTAATTATTCAAATGTATCATAATTTTGAACTTTTAAAGAATATTTTTTTTTTAAATATTCTGAGGCCCTCAACAATGAAAGTTAACTAGGACACGTAATTTCAGAGAGGCTTGGGAGAAAATATTCTATATTGGGAAAAAAAAAAAGATCCTCCATCCTTTCTTTCAAGGAAGGGGTAATTTTGTCTTATAAATGAGTGTGGAGGTTTCTGTTCTCTTTGTGCCTACAAAGATTCCATAATCTGTATGGGTCACAGTGATCTTAGTGGGAAAGAAAAGATCTGAGGAGAGTAGGATGCCTTGGCAAGTGTCCCCATTAAATGAATTCTGAACACTAAGAAAACTGCACTCAAATAAGTGCTTTTATTTACTTTAGTAACATATAGTAGTGTGACAAGCTTTTGCCTGAATACCACTGCAGTGAATATTGTGATAAAACACTTTCTAAAAATTCTCTGCTAAGATATCAAGTGGGCCTCTATTATTTCTTGCACACAAATACACCTAAACACAAATATATTTGTGACCATTACAGGTAGCATATTTTAGGAAAAATATATAAAATGTAATATGAATAATATGATTATGAATGAAATAATATATTATTAATATGATAATAATATATTATTAATATGATACTAATATTTAAAATATACATAAAATGTAACTTTTCCTCCCAGGAAAAAATGATTTGGAGCTAACTGTGTTAGAGCAAGTAATGCAACTGAGTTAGATTGATATAAACCTGTCTAGAAGAAATTCCTACACAACTGCTATGAGCCCTGGGAAAGCACAAATGATAAAAGTGCAGAATATCAGGACCATTGACCTCAATGAATGTTATGTTTTTCAAGTCTTCCACTTTCCTATCTTTCTTAATAGGGGGGTCTCTTTTATGTAAGAAGAGGAAAGATTGAGTGAAATCTTTTGAAAAATTAGTGGGATCTTCTTCTCAAGTCCATTTGATATTGAATCCATTGCCCACCCCTACTAGTTCCAGTAGACTATGGCCGCACATGAGTTAAAATATGAAGTATCAGGCCTAGGCATGCGCTCCTTTTTTTTTCTAAGTTATTGTAAAATAGATTTTAGGAATGTCAGAAACAATGACATCTATCCTAAAGAAAATCATTAGACTTATTCACAACACTATTGTTAGTTCCCTCTGTAAAATATATGAATAGGAATTAAATTCATGTGTACAATGTACAGAGAAGGAGACAGTAGCGAGAGTGAGTGAAGACTTGCATTGTATCTCCTTATCCAATAATGTAAAATAAGTTCATGACATACTATAGATGAAATTATTCTGTTTTGATCCTTAGAATTTCTTTGATCATGTTAGAAGTATTTTTTAAAACCTTTATATCTTAATTTACAAATAATATTTACATTAAAGTCAAAGTTTCTTGTTGCTGATCTTGCTAGAATTGAACTTTCATTACCAGTATCTACATCATTCATGGCAGAGTTTAGTCATAGAGTTGTCCCTTTTCTTTGGTATCTCATGGCTCTTTCCCCTGGGAGTCAAAGGGATAAACTAAGTGATATGAACTTATTTTAATGTTAAGTCAGAGTCTTAGGATATGGAATTTTCTCAATGACATCCTTCTATAGAATAGATAAGCATAAGTTATGTTATTGACATTAATGGAATTGATACATATGTACACTTAATTGTACATGAGGTACATATTTTCCTTTCTTTTCACATCATTGCTCATAATGGCTATATATACCTTTGTGAAATAGTCTGTGCTACTTTGTCTAATGTACAACTCATTCATTCCTCTTTTTTACCTCTTCATTTATCAGGGTTAGTGCTCTGCTAGAAAACTAATGCCCTCTGTCACATTTCTTAGTGTATCAGCTCTTATTTGGAGGTATTTAACAATTAGCTTTACCTCAAAAATTATTTATTTTGATCAGAGATATACATTGGTTTTTAAAAATTCAGCATTTAATAAATCACAACCAGTAGTAGTGATTTATATCTTGATTTTAGATCAATAATTCTGAAACTGGAAGCTTTATCTATGTAGGGTGCAAGAAAAACTTAACCCTGATTATTAATGTGAACAATTGTGGACATAAATTATGAGAAATTAACATAACGTAGTCAATGAAATATGTGGCCAAATGTATTTCTATGTGTGTCATTTTCTGTGGAAGGTATGATTTAAGGTAGAATATATGTGCAAAATTCTGTTAGAATATTTTATTCACATTTAAACTATTTTGAAAACAGCAGTGAAGAAATGCTTATTAATGCAAAATCCAAAGTTCTATACTTCCACTTGAGGAGAAATTGAAAAAAATATGTAAAATTGGATACAATTTGGATGGTGCTAGTAGTAAGCTTAAAACAATGTTGACAATTTTTAAATAAATGTATCACTATAATATCTATATACAATTATTATGGTTATTTCTCCTAAGAGAAATAATACAAACAGATATCCACACAGATGTGGTTGATCTTTTTCTCCACATCATTTGGTTAGCCATCATTAAGAGACATGCAATCAAGTTGGATAGATATTTCTTGAAATGATGCATGGTATGCAGTGCATGCTTTCATTGTGCTTCCTGCCATTATGGAATAATGTGTCTTATTTGGAAATACAATGATCATTTCTATTGAATCTTGCTTAGTTAGCTTAAATAATAACACCTCTATTTTGTGAATCATTTCAGATTTCAGAGAGCTATGCCTTCCTACCAAGAGAAGCGGTGACACGGTTTCTAATGAGCTGCTCAGAGTGCCAGAAAAGAATGCATTTAAACCCAGATGGAACAGATCATAAAGGTAGCCACAGTGTCAAATAGTGAGATTTAAAGTAATTTTATTCGTAATGGCAATTTATAAAAATGTGATAGACTGAAACAGTTCAACAAGTCAAATCATCCCTTTGATTCAAGAAGTAGCTGATGAATTTTGAATATCTAGTCACAAAGTAATTTAGTGCCTATTCTTAGGGAAAAAGTCAGTTTCAACTGTGGCATAGAACAGTTTTTCAATAATAATATTTTAATTTTTACTTATTTTGTGTATTTCATGGTATTTTAGATAGATTCAGAAAGGAAATGGATGTTCCTTTCATTTCCTGTTTCTAAAAGTGATGAATAGTATGGCATTTCACTGAATTTTTTTGTGTGAAAATTGAAATTTGGCTTCAGCTTTCTTTAAAAATCATCCATTTTCTTCATCTAGTAATTTCTTTTAGTAATTAAATTATTGTTAAATACACAATTATGCTAGCTTTCTTCTGTGTGTTTGAGGATGTGTAGACTGGCTAAAAAATTAATGAAAAAAGCATACTTCCATTTGAATTAAGCAATGCACATAGAAAGTAGATGCGCAGCAAGGGTGAAAAATACAGAAATACAAGTAATTATGTTACACTCAATATTAGCTTCACTCCTCATACCCAGGATATTAAAAAGGGACATTGTGGTCAGAAAAAACAAGTTCATCTACTGTTAATTTGCCAACTTTGTAGACCCTTTCAGTTATTTTGTCTACAAGTCATGCACACTGCTACCCATCATTTAACCTCTTGGCATCTAGAAACACTTTAATATGAGCAAATTGGACCATTCTGAAATTACAGGTGGAATGCAAGGTGATGGCCTTCATTACCCATCAAAAATGTTTTATTACAGATAATGGAAAACCTCCCACTTTGGTGACCAGCATGATTGACTACAACATGCCAATTACCATGGCGTATATGAAGCACATGAAGCTGCAGCTGCTAAACTCACAGCAAGATGAGGTAAGATGGACACATCTGCATTTCTGTCACTTGCAAGTTGAAATGAAGTTTGATAACCATGATGATCATATTAAGTCTGATGGCATTTTGGAGATGGTAATTTACTTTTTTTAATGAAAGGGATACCACCAGGATTGCACAGATACAGTTATAGGCAAACATTTTTAGTTCTTAATAGAAATTCCAAACCAAAACATCTATTTCTGGGACTATGTGGAAATTTGTTTATCTCCACAAAGTTGAATTTTCAACAGACCACCACTGAGTTCACCTTGGTAAAATACCAGCAAGCTCAGGAAAAAATGTACCAAATGAGTGAGAATTCAAGGGAAAAAAATAATTAAATTTTTTTTTACATAGAAGAACTGGTGTGTAAGTCAGGTACAGGGGATGAGAGTATTCACCAGAGACAGAGTGGGGAGCAGAAAATGTGAATCCACTGAAACATACTGCTAAGAGGAGCAGTGGGTGAGACAATAGAGGTCTTCTGAGCCATGTTTGGGTCAGCTCCTTGGCTAGAGATAAAAGTATAATCATTCACCACCATTTAGTTCTTACATATACTTTAAAGTTATTCCTCAGTTAACCACTATTTTATATAATCCTCTGCATTTTCTAGGGAAAAGTTGTGTTGAATCTTTTTTTATCTTTATTAAATTATATTAATTTAGGTAAAGTTGGTTTACATCATTGTATTTGTGAAGGTTATAGGTTTAAACCACTACAAATGTGTATTTTCATCCCATGACCACCACCAATGTTTTTATTTAGTTATAATTTTGTTTTAAATTCCACTGAATTTGTATATCAAGAATAGAGTGATGAATTTGATGGCAGGTATTAAATAGTAAATGCATGTTTGTCAGACATTCTTTGTTAGTTCCAGTAACTATTTAGTTTGGCTTCAGAATCTCAAAGGTGGAGACTAAATTATTTACAAGTCCATACTTGTATATTTCCCTCTCCCCATGCAAAGATATACAATAAGCACACAGTAGGAACTTAGTAAACTAGATAATAAGGAATAATTGGTAGGCTACATTTACATGGTCTGTCTTTGGAACAGTTTCTCAGACTAATAAATTCTCTCATTGAACTTTCTCTAGAACAGCAAATGAAGCCAACTATTTATTTTTCAAATACAGCATTATTTGGTAAACTATTATTAAATTCTTTCAAAATTAATTTGTTTTAACTCTTGAATTATTTTTTCTCCTTTATTTAATCTCAAAATCTCAAAACCATACTTATATTTTTTTTATGTTAAAAGACTTTATTCAGGGCACCCAATAAAATGGGTGTTAGTGACATAGCAGACTCCATATTAACAGATGGCTATATATAAGTGATTTTAAAATAGTTGTAAAACCCCAGGGTTAAATACATGAAAGGCAATTAAAATATTAATATCTATCCATGCTTGAGAATGAAAAAAACTATTACTATGATTCATCACATAATTGAAACTATTCTTAGCTCATAGTGAACATTGTCAAATTATTTGTAGGAAGCTCATTTAGATGTTGATATGATTTAGATCAATGCTAAAAAGTAAGATCAACTCTGTGCTAACAATACAACTTATATGTGTTGGTTTGTTCTGGCTTCTAATAAGTTTAAATGTTTCACACAAAAGCAATAATATCCTTTTAAATTTCTAGCAGACTTTGGAAAATGACTCTCTTTCTTACATTTTAAAAATATTAAAGACAGACTATGTAAATTGGATATATGCAACCGCCATCAAAATATTCAGATAAATGATTATAGATTATTACAAAATTTTAGACATCATGATTATAGAAAGATAAAAAAGTCACATTGAAATGGAAATAAAGTGAGATATTATTTGGTGGTGTTATATTTGAATATTAATAAGCATTAATTGTTAGGTTAATCTATGTTTATTGACTACCTGCTATGTAACTGTTACTCTTGATAATGGAAAAGTAGATTAACAGTGAATAAATGAGTAAAGCTTTGCCTTTAGTATACTTACCTGCTCATGTGGGAGAGTGACTATAAAGGAAGTAAAAATTACTATGTTTAAAATGGGATGCTAAATATTATTAAGAGAAATACAGGCAGCCAGGAATGGCAACTCCTTTAGGATGAGGAATCACAAATTTAAACACCTTATTTGGGAAGGTATCACTTGAGTGAAAGTGAAGGAAATGAAATATGTATATGACTACATATAAGGAGATGTACTGCCAAAACCCTGAGGTAGGTGCATGTTATCTAGCTGTTAGAACAGCAAGATAGTCTATATATTTCATGCAGAGTAAGCAAGGGCAATTATCATAGGACAGGCTACTCAATCTATAGGAGTCAAAATCCAACTTTAACAAATCAACTTATCTGGGACATACATTTTGAGAGAGATTTTATAAAATATTGCATCCAGTGTCAGATCAGTTGAACTTATAAATAAACTCTTTGTGAGACTTAAATCTGTTTTGTGAGAGTTTAACTATAACTATTATTATTTTTTTTAATGGGGGCCTACCTGGTGGCACAAGGGATTAAAGCACAGCACTATGAAGCTAAGTACAACCACTGCAGCACAAGTTCAATCCCTGGCAAGGGAGATGACCCACAGGGTGCAGTAGACCTCTCCTGTCTTGCCTGCTGCTTCCCTCAGCAGTATACTGCTCAGTCTTCCTGTTCTGTTCCCCACTCTTTTTATGGTGAATCCTCTCACAGCCCTTGCACCTCTGGGCACTAGAACATGCTGATTAAGTGAAATACAGTGCTAAGGGGAAGGAGCAGGTGAGATAGGAGAAGTCAGATGTGCCATGTAAGTAAACTCTCTGGCCAGGGATAGAATTCATAAGGTGCTGCAATGGCTGTGGATTGCTTCATCTCTTGTACCACCAAGGAGGCCCAAAAATATTTTGTTTAACATGCAGGGTAAATAGTATTGGAAAAACCCATGGGCCTTACTGAATTGTATCTTACAGGATTTTACCCCCAAATTTCTAATTCTAGGTTGGATATGTGTAACCTTCCCATCTGAGTTTTTAACAAGACGTATACTCATCCACAATAACACATTTTAATGATAATGACCTGAAGTTGATTTGAGCACAGAATAGTGGAAAACACAACAGCAATTGGTAGCAGTGTCATTGTCTAAGTGGATTTAAGTAGTCTTATGGAAAACCCAAAATATTTGATGTAGTTTATAATTAACTTGCTGTGTGTGCATATGTGTGTGTGTGTGTGTGTGTGTGTGTGTGTGTGTGGAGATAAGCACAAATTTATAAGCATAGAAATAGCTGTTCTTAAACTGAAGATTTATTTGACAATAATTGTTTAAAAATGATAAGAATTTGAAGATAGGAAGATAACTAGGGACCTGTGTTTTGTTGTTCAGGAAATAGGAATATAAAATATTCAACCAATCTGTACAATAGCAAAGGAAATTAGGAGATATATGGCAGAGACTATAGAGGTGAAATCTGGAAGTTGAAAATTAAAATAAAACACAGACAAGATAAATAATCTGAATTTAAAGAAAGTTCTCAAAATAGAAATAAAAGTTCAATTATAAATATTTTTACATTTTAAAATAAATAGGTACTATTTTAAGTGAAAAGACTGAGAAGAAAATTACTTGTTACAATTAAATATTTTTTCAAATTGGCAAAACTTAATCTGCCAGGAATCCAAACTCTATGGTTATTCACCATGCTTTCAGTATCATGAGATTCACATAAAGTACAAACTCACATTGCAAGATGTGCAGACTTTTTAGGTTGGCATAAAAAAACTGAAGCAATCACAGAATGGAGGATTTAGATGAAGAGTCTTAAAGATGATCAGAAATATCAAGAATATATACTAGCCTATCAATGAAGTTTTTTGATTTTCATCTGAAAATATTTAACAGTTTATACCTGGAGAGATTAACATTTTTCTATGTTGATAATAAAATACTCTAAAATCTTATATTTCATGCACTCTTTTCAACTTCTTTGAAAATCTAATAATTTAATCATTTAGTGAACTTATACAATGAATATATGCACTTAGTTTCATTATAGCTCGTTATAAATGTAAGCAATTGGATGATTAATATTCCAATAAGAAGAGTTGTGAACAATGAATTATATTATTAGGAAGTCATGGATGAAATATTTTAAAAATCATAATCATTAAATCAGTTATGATGATAAGTACTTTAAAATAATGATTTTTAAAAAGTAACAAGATATAGGCCCTCCCTGGTGGCGCAGCGGGTTAAAGCACAGCATTGAGAAGCTAAAGCCACTTCCTCATGAGTTAGATTCCCGCCTGCCACCTGCCCTGGAGATGACCACATGGCATGGCAGACCTCTCCTGACCCGCCCGCTGCTCCCCTCAGCAGTGTACTTCGTAGATCTGCCTGTTCTGCTCCCCACTCTGTCTCTGGTGAACTCTCTCGCTGCCCCTGAGCCTCTGGCCTGTACCCCAGTTCTGTATGCACAAATAAATAAATTTTTTTAAAAAAGTAACAAGATATATAATAGTTGCATTTGGTATATATAACTATTTAATCTCTTTTCCATAGTTCCTAAAATGTTTGTGACAAGAATGTCATTTAGTGCTGATAAAATGTTTATTGATTACCCATAATGTGCTATAGCATTTTGTATAATCTGACTCATTATATCTAGCTTTTCTTTAATCATACAAATATATACAAATAGCTTCTTACACGTACATATGTGTTCCTCACATACATCTTAGAAATAATTTATTAGGTTATATGTGTGTGTGTGTGTGTGTGTAGTTAGTTAGTATATGGGATATATCCTAACTATATATATCCTATATATATGCCTATATAGTATATAGGATAAATGCTATTATAGAGGCTACATTTATGTATACCACACAGCTACTTTATAAACATATTTACCATATTTCTTTTTGCTTCTTTTCATATAATGTAACAAATACAAATCTTTTTATATGATATAGAATGTTTATATATTCTAGATAACAGTGTCAGTTTTGTACTTATATATACTTGATATTGTTTTAAATACCTAAAATATACTATACTGCCACAGTCCTTTTGTAACTCTATGGGACTGATGCTATTCTCATTTTATAGATGTATAAACTAAGGCACAGAAGGTGACATATCTGATAAATGATAGAGTACAGATCTGAATGAAGCAGTTTGGTTCTAGAAATTATGCTCTAAAATACCATATGATCATATATACACATTATATATATGTTATATAGTTGATATATATCATTTGGCTAAGTGTAGATATATATGTAATGTACATGACACACATTGGTAACAGTGATGTACACATTGATCAGACCTTTGCTAAAGGGAGGATACCAAAATTATCTGTGCTTAACGTATGGATCAGGATGCTAATTTGTTAATCTATTAGAATGCTCTGGTCTCCCAACCATAGCAACTCTGAACTTATACTTTGATGTCATTTTTGAAGCCAAGATAACTTCCTATTTTACTTTCTCAAGATTTCATATAAATACTAGTTCTAGTGTATATAATAAATGGGAAAAATTGTTTAACTGCTCTGGGCCTCAGTTCTGAATCTGTAAAGCTGGGTGAATGCTGGCCTCTTAAATCATAGGTCATGATGATGATTAATCAGTGTGGTGAATGGACATATACAAAGCACAGTTTCTGAAACTGTGTGGTCTGCTACTGCCACTGCTAATGGCCATGTTAATGTGAAAACTTTTAGATCAAACATTTGCACATTGAAGTCAAACATAGTGATTGCAATGAAACAATTATGATACTGCACACATTCCCCCCAGGTTTTCCTGCCTGCATAAGCACACCACTTGTCAAAAAAAAAAAAAAAAAAAAAAAAAAAAAAAA